TTTTTTTGTTTGAATAATTGAGTTTGTTCTTCATGATTTTTATAAGGCATGTATTGTTTCTAGTCTTCCTTGATTCTAAACAATTCAATGAGAAGGCCGGGTTCATATAGTTCTGATGAAGAAGGAATTGATGTGAATTGATTTATTTGGTTGATCCTTGTTCAATTGACAGATTTACAGCATATGCATGGTGATCTGTGTTTTTACCCTTGGTTATATATAAAGCATTCAACATCTGCATTGTTTGATTGGTGCAAGTATCTAAATAAATGGTGCATTCTTCACAAACCATTCGAGATTTTGTTGACAATTGAAACTGATTATATATGAAATTGAGATTTGCGTTTCAGATTAAGTGTCACAAAGCATACAATCTCTTTATTTTGTGAGTAGTTTTAGAACTGTTCTTGTGCTAACTTCTACCATGTTAAAAATCATATATTCTTTGATTTTAAAAATCATATCATAGAGAAATCTCTTTTACAGCTTTCCAGAAAAGTGAAGAAAACTACATTTAGATTAGGAATCTAACAATGTTTTTTCTTCTGTTGAGGGAGCTAGTTGAAACTTGAAACCATACATAAGAGATAAATGGTTTTAAAATGGTGGTTAGGCAAGTCTCTATTTGAACAGCTAGATAGACAATCATTTGAAGTGTTGAACAAATTAAATGGGAAGATTAAATAACTTTTTTAATATTTTATAATCAAACTCTTAATTCAACTTTTTTTACAGTTAGACTTAAACACCATGGATGTGAAGGCACTGAAGAGGATAAAAGATTGAGCTAAGTAACAACATTTCTTCCAACACTTTGACCTTATCTTTCTCTTTGATTTAATTTTTTCGCTATCTTTCTGTTTCTTGGTTGTTATAGTTTGGCACCTCCCCATGATAGGAAGCAAAATGAAGGTAGACTCCACAATTTTTAATGATATATTGACAGTCATGTAACTAAAAATGTCACCATTCTTTGATGAATTATTGGCTACTTGCGGAGTTTGTTACATAAAATTTATGGTATGTAGGTTCTTATGAAACAGGAAGTGTATGTTGATATATATGATAGCCGTTTTGCTTGACCATGACATCAAGATGGCGTGCTTTAGTCGTGCAGGTGACGGGGTTTTGAGGACATTCATGGGTTAAGAGTAAGATATTTGCCAAACTCCTCTCCTGTTTCAATCCATGCCATTTATTGATTAACTGGCCTGCAATATTTGGTGTTATACCAAGTAGGGTAATTTTCCAATCCTTTCAATGAGTAGATATTGATCAAACATGTTTGACACTAGCGATGCAGTTAACCTTTCAACTATAGCGAGTTAACACTTCAACTAGTCCAGTCGTGAATGACCATTGACTCTTTATTTTAACTCGAAAAGGAGGTCTGTATATTACTGCATGTGATATTTTGTTGAGTTGAGTTAAGTCTCCGAAGTTTGTCAAACTGTCGTCCCACTCCAAACCTATATATAGTATTTGTGGTATGAGCTTAGACCTTTTTATCTCTCAGATAATGTTCAGAAGCTGTTCTGGCTTGACAGTGTGCATCCATGCCAGGACTTGGAGATGTTGTGGGTGCAAATATCCAGTCGCCTTTCACTGTCTTTGGCATTATTATTTTGTGGATTAGCCTTCCTGCTTTGATGTGGAACTGATTAAGTGATTAACTGGTTCAGTGGAACATGGCAACATTGTTTCTATTAGACCTATTGTCACACCCCGATTTTTGATAAATGAATAATCACTAAATAAATAGCAAAAATCCACAAACCAAAAGCCA